CTTATTCAAGCCTTCAGTTCTGTTAAATATTTGAAACAACAAATTGTGTGCCATTTTTAAACACTATGTTGAATCGTACTTTAAAGAAAGATTGTACCTAGGACTGCTGATTGTTTTCTTAACTTGCTAATTTCATCACATTTCTGAATATCTATGAACTAAATTTCTTTCACCTCACTAATGAGGTCTGCTAGTGGAGTTTCACAGCAGGGGAAAGATGAATGTGTCACTGGGAAAAGGTCAGCACAAGAAACATTTTTCTTCAGCAAAAGAGAATAGGGAATTTCCTCCTATATGATTTCTTCCTACCAGGTGGCAAACACTTTGAACTATTGTTGAGAGCTGTAAATGCATTCAGACACTTCTGGGCAGCAACTGGCCTCCATACTCACTACCAGCCATAACAAACACCCAACAAAACCTCTATTATTTCGGACTGTATGAGGCTGACAAATAGTTTTGGTTTTCACTTTCAAATTATGTCCTACACACCGACTTTATCAACATTAAGCTATCAAATAAGAATCCTATATGTACACACTTTTACATTTTTTATTAGAGATTTTTGGGAGGGACTGCAGAACTTAGAGCAGTAGCAGAATGTAGCACAGCAGTTAATAAGGACAATAACTGTACCCTGTCTTGTTCTCATGGATGAAAGGCACTGCATAACTGAGTGCCAGAGTACCACAGTCAGCACAAACACTGGAGATATCCCACAACAGTGTACCTTCAAAGAATTAAAGTTATTGATAGCAATTTTTGCATTCATGAACAGGCCCTTCCATACTGTCTTGATCTGGTTATTGTGGTCAGGAATCTGCAATAGTACCTGTAACACTGTAATCAAAAAAAAAAAAAAAGAAAAATTAAGTCAAGAAGTTTCACATCTTCACATTCTGCAACACAACAGGTTGTTGTTATCCCAGTTTTTCCACTGGAGAAGATCAGGACTATTCAGACCAGTAAGAACATCTGTTTCAGTTTGCAGCTGCTATTTCTTCAATTGCAGTGTAATGAGATTCCTAAAATGTTTGGTACAGGATGCATTTCTGATCTTCTCTGTCATTATACAAGTCTGCTCTGTTGCTCCCAGCTTAAAAATGTCAAGAACAGCTGCACTGATGAAAAGCTCATTGAAAACCTACTGGTGTTGCTGTTGCATGAAAAAGGCGCTGAGCTGTGAACATTCTGACTTCTCTAATGTCTATCTTTAAACTTTGTGTTCACACTTTTTTAACATAAAAATATTGATACAAAAATTAATTCTATATCCTCCTCCTCCTTCTAGAACTATAGGGTGTTGAATAAAGCATCTGAGTTTCTAGTTATAGAGAAACTGCCAGGTAAAAAGAATTCTTCAAATTAAACTGACAAATAACAAGATTCACCTGAAAGATGAAATCACACAATTCAAAGCAGACACAAGCTTAAGAAAGGGAGTGTTTGACCTGAAACAACCTGTCAATGTAAATATTCCAATCTTTTTTGAGGTATTCAGTTCAAAATTGATTCCTTTCTAAACTATGCCAACAAACAAACAAACAAATAAACAAAAAAACAAAACCCAGAAAATCACAGCTTTGTACTGGATGAAACAATTATGGCCTGCAGTGATGAGACTCTATTATTTGGTTACTTTATTTATGGTTTTACAGAGTAAGAGTAAGACATGTGTTTGAGTGATTTGTGCAAAATAGTATCAGAAAAAAATTCTTGAAGCATGAAAAACACCTTTGTATTGTGTTTGTGCAGACAAATCATAAGTAAATTTTATTTTTTTTATCTTTGCATTAGGAAAACATTTTGGAAATGAAAAGAAGCAAGGAATATGCCCAAGGTAATTTTTGGAAAAGTGAAATTTTGCAAAGAAGTAGCTTGATTAACAACATTTAAAGTTACTGTTAAATCTGGTAAATGCTGATACTGGAAGTGATCACATCTTGGTAAACTAATGATCTGCTATCAGCAAAAATCTTGCTGCATAATCTAATTTTTACTAATGTATTAGAACAAATAAATGTTTTAATGCCCCTTTATTTCCTACCTCACAATGGCATATATTTAATCTGTGGAATTATTTATAGTTAGCAATATTTTATAGGCTAATCTGGTACTGATATTTTTAAAATTCTGGATTATACCATCTTCTAAATAAAATTTAAGAAAAACTTTTTAAGATCTGCCAATTCAAAATTATGACTTCTCTCTGCTTTTTGGTCTAATCCTTGAAATTTCATGGTTCTCTACTGCAGTCTCATACATACTTCCATCCTTACATGCAATTTAAAATAATATATTGTTATATAGTTATTGTAATCTACATTTCAAACTGCCTAAAGCATTTCAATTCAGGAAAATTAAAGAAACTAAACCTTGTAATGTGTAGCTTGTAATGTGTGAATTTCATGTATCATCCCCCCATTCTAGAGGGCAGTACAACATGTGTGAATTATCCAGGAAAATGAATGCCCAGACATCTCACAGAGCTTGGACTGCATTTCCTATACATCAGCACATCATTAATCAATCAGCACAAGACAATGCAATGAAGCCCCAGCCAAATTAAAACAAGAAAAGGAAAAATGCCCTCCTAGTTCCTTTTCTGGAACAGTCTCAATGTTAATTTTAAGTGGGAAGAATATGAATAAATGTAGAAAATGAAGAATACCTTTTTGCAGTACACTGTCTAAAATGAGCCAGGAGGTCCAATTTTGGCATGGAATACTGGCCATTTTATTCGAGTTTTTCTATCTATCTATTTATCTATCTATCTATCTATCTATCTATCCATCTCAGTAATAGCCAGGCTTCTTTGGAGGCTGTTTGTTTTTGTGCTGTTTTGTTGTGTTATTTTTCTCAACACAGGAGATAATAAGTTTTAGGGAGTTGAAGATTAACAGGAAAGTATGTATTCAGTAAATAGTCAGTCAGCTTCTCCTTTTAAAAAGTAATTTAAACTTGATAAGCTGCTTCTACTTAACAGTTTATAAATATAGTCCATTAATTCAGAGTTCCAAAATAATATGTCCAAGACCTTAAGAAAAAGACCATCGTCCTTTTCATCTGCAAAATCTTTTCTTTGTTGTCAGCTAAATTACTTCCATAATTTTTATTTCTGGAAGAGAATTTTCTTTTGATTGTTGTTTTGTTTTCTTTTTTCTATCCCATCCTGGAACTTTATAATCTGACCCTAACCATTTACAGTTAGATAAATCTTTTACTTCGTCCTTCACACCCCAACAAATAAATGGAACAGAAAATGAGGTCATTCATCACAGTGAGATAAAATCAGAAAGTTGACAGAAGAAATGAAAGTCAGTTTCTTAGTAGACTTATAGTATTTTTACATCATATGGCCTTAAGTACTATGAAGATGCTAAAGATGCATAAACCTCTTAATTTTTTTTTTAATATCTGGTGAAGGGATAATGCCAGGGAAGGGCTGATTTGCAGGGAAGAAAAGCAGTAAAAATTGGAATCTACTCAGGCTTGCTCTGTTTGAACACAATAGATTGTTTTATCATCTCTTTTACTAATTCCCATTTAGTTGCCCTAAGTATTTTATGGCAATATTTGCAAGGAGACCATGGTCTTTTCTTTGAGTAAAGGAAAACTGAAGAATGACTATATAAAACAGTTTTAGACAGAGGATTTTTTTTCCATCTATGGATTAGAGTTGTGAAAAGAACAATTCATGCAGTTATTAATGAGCTTTGGGCTTTGTTCTCCTTCAGTCTTTGGATAAAAAATGTGCATGTTTTCATTATTTTAGCGGTAATCTCTTCCTGAAGTATTCCAGTCCCACAGAGCATTTCAAAAACTTGTACAGTTAATGGTGACAGTGTGACAGACAAAAGGAGTTCAGGAAAGAGCCACTAATGCTGAAGGTGTATAACAAAAATCAGTGGATTGTTCTATTAAGACAAATAACTTGATCCCAATTTCAGAGCATGATGTAAACATGAATATATGAAATAGAGAGCAACCAGGCAATTAAATAGACAAAATTAATGAGATTGTTAAAAAGAGATACTGTTTTTTATAAAATTTAACTGAATTGGGTAGCAAAGTTAGACCCAAGATTTTTTTTTAATACAAAAGTGTAAAACTTTTGGATTCTTACCCTTTCAGAGATTGGATATAGAATTTCATGAAAGATAAAACTTCTGTTAGCTTTGCAAAACAAAAGTATTAATAGTTATTCATTGTCAAGTTGCAGCATTTGCTTTCCCTTTTCTATTGACCCACTATTTTACTGAAAGTTATACATCTTTAATGAAGTTATTTTCAAGTCATGTCCCTACAGAAGATATTACTCATCACTTACATTTACACCCTGGAGCTACTGGGCCTCTCATCTCTCTCCATCCTTTTCTGAACAACCAACTGCCTATTTCCAAGCAGAATGTATCAAATCCAATTGAAAATTGCCATAGTTTTGCTTCTTTTATGAGTTAACACAAAAGTATACTATGCACTAGAGATTCTGCTCTCTTATACAGTGAACTCTCACATTAGACATGAACTGCTGAAATCTTCAATTTAGCTCCAGTAAAAACTGGACTAAACAAACTTTCTGTTCTTTTTAATTCAAATACTTATTTTATTTTGAGGGGGAGGAAAGAGGAAATGAAATTTATAAATTATTTCCATTAGTTTCAGGGATGGTCATATTAGCAGCCACTGTTGTGGGTGCAGAGGGGGATTCACTCTCCAGTCACTGAAAGGCCACATCCCCCTTCATGACCCTTTAGTGCAGTCTGACAAGCACAGCACCCTTCACACTTCTACAGGAGGCTCCTGTCCATGATGAGAACCCTCATAACCTTCGGATCCACAAAGAAATTCTAAGCTAAACATCCTCGTTTGAACCTACCTGCCTCTGCCTGCTGGCAGCTCTGCCTCACCCATTACCCACTCCCCGCAGCACCTCTCCGGCCCGGCCGGGGCCTTCCTGCGAGGCTACCCGGCTGGGATCGGGATGCAGCTGTCCTTACCTGGAGCGAAAACCATGGTGCCGCCAGGGCAGCACGGCTCAGCACCTCAGACAGCTCCCGGCCCCGCTGGGATCAGAACCCGGCCGTCGCCCGGCCCCGCTGGGATCAGCACCTCGGCCAGCGCCCGGCCCTACTGGATCAGCACCTCGGCCAGCGCCCGTCCCGCCGGGCTCAGCACCACGGACAGCGCCCGGCCCCGCACGGCGGCGGAGGCGGCCGCGGTCCCTCCCTCCACAATGCGGCGGGGCGGGGAGGGGGCCGGGGCGCTCGCACGGACACACACACACACACACGCACACACTCTCTCTCACACACACACACACTCTCCCTCCCTCCCTCTCTCTCTCTCTCTCTCTCTCTACCAGGGAAGCATCACTGCCATAACTCCTTAGCCTGCGGTGACAGCAGGGGTAAGGGCAAAAAGGAGAAAGGCAGCAGCGATCTGCCCGGCAGGGAGACTGGCTAATTGCTCCTAATTAGCCCTCTCGACAACAGTCCCGCTGCCTGACATTTTGGGGTGCGCTGCTTTCAATGCAAGCTGACAGCACTGGTAATAGGCTTCAGCAACACCATATTTTGTCACAGTATTTTTGCTTCCAAAAGCTCAGATGCTGAGGAATTTATACTCTGATTTCACAGGCCCGCTAACCCAGCTGTACCCAACAGCAGCACTTTAAGAGGCAACATGAATATTTCGGCATATAAAAGACAACATCAAAGCAAAACAGTAAAGAAAATAATGAATAGCAATAAAATAAAGACTATGAGGGTCAACAACAGAAGACTACATAAAATTTTAAAATTTCCTACCAACTTTTATGTTTCAGGTTTAATTTACTTTTGTTTGTACAACTCATAGTCAGGATTCCTTTGGGCCATGAACTTCTACAGCAGAAGTGAGAAACATGCATCCAGATGGGACAAGCTTTACAAAAACTAACTCTCCTCTTTAAGCCTAACTTACAAGAGGGATTCTGAAAAACATTATCAGTGCAAATTATAGAAAGTACATTAAAAGAAAAAGCATACCTTTTTGCATGTATATGTTTGCAATATGCAATATATTTTCCAATCATATTTTCATAACCTAAGATACTCTCCCAAGCTTATTTCATTCTTTTCATAGTCAAGCATTTCACAGACACAAAATTCTCCAGTTAACCTGAAATACTTGTAGTCTTAAAACAAGGCCTTATTCTTAAAATACAGAAAAGATGACCTCCTTAAATAATATTGCTTGTATACTTCAGCTAGAACTCAAGAGTGGCATCACTGTCAAAGTTAAACTAATTATTTGGTGGTGGGTTTTTTTGGGGGGAGGTGGGTTGTTGGTTTGGTTTTTGTTTGTTTTTTTTTTTCTTTTTTTTTTAAGTGTATAACATCATTTCTCCTTGGGAATTCATTCCAGATTTATCTTCACTTACCATTTCTAGTATCCAGTTTCTGGATATTCATTTTATTCCTCTTAGCAATTTCAGCTTCTTATTGCTATTTGTTTCCCTCTTCTGTCTTATATTTCAGGGATCAGTTTCACTTCTCTCAGATGGCAACTGAATTAATGAACATAAACATACCCCTGGTTGCTCAGAAATGGTGTTCCCTTTAAAAATGTCACTTCAAAAATCTCTATTCTAACCTTTTCTCATCCATCATTATTCCCATTCACCTTAAGTATGGGAACGAATTACAGAAGAACTCAATTAGAAGAATTTCTAGTAAAAGTATCCCACACAAAATACAGAAACGAATACAGTCCTCAATATTCAGCATTCTTAAGAGAAAGGTAAAAGATACCCCATAATCTTTAGAAAATATTGACTGATCCATAATCCGAAAAGATTGCAAGAAAACTTACACTGGTATTTTTATGGTATAACTGTTATGTGACCCTTAATGCTCGATGGAGAGTTATCTATAATTTAAAAAAGGTATTAAAGCACTTCTCAAAAAAATTTCTATTGAACATATTTCTATTACATACATTCTCAAATTATATGGATGTTTCTAAGGGATTGTGTTTTGAGATGGTGGAGCAGCTTGCTAAAAGGTTAGTAAAACAATAAATACTATACAGTGATATCAAAGTCTGTAAGTAACCTGCAAAATTCTAGGTGGGTGTATGCAACTTGGTAACAGAACCTACATAATTTTGGTGAAAGAATCCAGTTCGTTAACAATAATGCCAATGAGCATCTTTCTTTAACTGTTGTCTGTATTTAATCTGATAAATAACTCAAACCAGTCACACTTTATTCTAGAGTTTTCAGTTTTCTTGCTCAAATTAAAGCTAACAGCAAGTAATGTTTTCTGTTAGAGGAAAAAATGTTATCAAAAAGCTTTTTGAACTTATTTTTGTTATAAAGGTAATTTCTGGATTTTGGATTGCGTCACAAGTTCAAATGCATGCAAAAAATCACTGAGATAACTGCACAGAACAGAGGTCTATAGTAAACTGTCACCTCAGAAAGAGTGTGCAGTTAATGCAGTACAACCCTAGAAACAAAGAGTGCACCACTAATTTTTTTTCATTTAACTTCAGATAAGTGGAAAACAACATTAGTTATGCCCACTTATACAAAAAAAATCCCTTGAGAATTAAGCATATTGGTAAAAAGGAGACTATATAATTACACACAATACATTTAAAGATGTTCCATCAACATGTATGAAATAGGAAGTACAAAAACACAAAAACATCTGCATATATTTTTATCAGTAATTATACAGTCCCTGCCTTGTATATCATTTAAATTATTGATCTTTAAGTGAAGAATTACTGATTTCATAACACCTGCCAATGTAAAATTCTTTGGTATGTAGCTTTAAATACTTTTTTAAGGATGTCTTGGCTTACTTATAAAGTACTTTGTTAAAAACTTGAACACTTTTTTAACAGACAGCTAACATTTCTAGACAGTTACAGAAATCATGTTGACTGATGTCACTTTAAATCATCCATGCTATTCATAATTCTGTAGATTTAGATCTGAAGCAAGCCCTTTATTCTAATGGAGCTGAGAACAATTATTTGGTCACATAGGTTCAGAAGCTTAGTAAATCTCTATTCAGGAAGGAGCCCTTTCCACCTGGTGACGTGCAAGGTTTCTATGTTTTGCTAACAAGAACGTACAACTAACATTTTACAGGTAGTATTTTAAACTCTTTTCTAAAAGAGTCATGCAGAATAAATCACCTAAACATAAATGAACGCATTCTATAATAAAATTAATATAAAGAGATAAGACTTCATATGTCTTACATCAACTACATTCAAAAGTATTATATTTTGTAAATTTTTTGGTTTTTTTACCTAACTTCGAGAACGAATTATCTCTGAGCCTTTTTTCTTTATTTTTTCCCACACTTATACATTAATAATCAAATCTAGATTTTTGGGAGGGAAAAGTAGGAAACTGCTTGAATTATTTGATGTCTTTTGCTATATTGGCTAAGATCATAATGGTCTTCAAAAAGCAATTACAGTCACTGTAATCTTACAGTTAAGCTTAACATAAAAATCTTTACTAGCCGATGCAATATATTACATCTGAAACTGCAAGGAAGCTGTCTAGAGGAAATTGTGACTGGGTGTCATCAAGAAATATCTAAACATTAGATGACTATTTGAAATGCCAAATTGCAATCTGTACAGCGGGGATCACAATAGTCAGGATCCTAGATTTAGAAATCTAACATTTAAAATCTCTCTGATTAATATACCTCTAACAGATAGAAGTAGAGAATAAACAGAGAAAGTAGAACAAAAAGTAAAAATAGACACAAGTGCCATTCTCCTGAAAAAATAATGAAATGAAAAGCCGGTTACCTTTCCATGAGTGTTTCAGAGGAATAGCGCTGCACAGCGGCCAAAGAGATGACACCGTGAAAGCCAGAAATGCAACATTTCCCCCAAGACAGTAAAAAGTGAATACCATTAAAGATAAGTGTGGCCAATAGTATTTTACTATTGGTAAGTTGGTATATTAAAATAGTATTTTAATTCACTGGTCTATTCATTTTTCTTAATTAAGCTGATAAACTACATAATAGTCCAGGGCTGTGATTTACAACTATGAAAATATTTTAGACAGAGACTAGGAGAAATAGCTGTACAGTTTTGTGGTGTTTTTTTGGTTTGTTTGTTTGGGTTCTTTAAAGTATCACAAAGATGCATCCACCCCAGGACTTCTCACAGCCTGTAAAGATATCCCAAAACACCCACATCCATCTAGGTAATATTTCTAGCTGATTATATTGCCACCCTCACATCTGAATGCCTCGCCCCATTAATGATTATCTTCAAACAGTCCCATAAAGAGTAAATTGGTGTCTTTCTGTTATAGACAGGAGTCAATATTAGAGAAGCTGAACCCAAATCAACAAAAATCAACAAAAAAAATCAACCCAATCAACAAAACAAAGACCTAGATAAACCTCAGGAGGTTTAAATAAAAGATTCAATGACTCACCTAAAATATTACTACATACACAACTGTGCAGTGGAGCCAAAGTAATCGCTGTTCCCACCTGCCACACGTCTGCTGGTTGTCAATGTCCTTTCACCAAGACAGAGGAATGAGTCACAGTCCAAAATTTAGAGTCTTTCCATCACACAGGAATTCTTTTATAAATCAAGGAATTCATTTCAGTCAAGTCTTGGCTAATGACTTTGGATCTAGCAGAAACACTGTGAAATATAGGCAGAGGTTTTAAAGGACCTCACACACAACCACTGTTGTGTGACATGTCTCCTGACATGTCTCCATGGACAAGGCCATACCATTCTGCATCATACTGAAAATGAATAGGATGAGTTGGAAGCCTCCTTCAAGTGAAAGTCTCACCTTCAAACCTTTTCTGTTCCTATCAGCAAAACATTCACTTCACTAAAAATGAACATTTTTGTACGTGTCTTTCTTTTTTCTATGAAAACTGTTTTAAGACTCTGATCATGCCACAGCTTATTGGTGTGTGCAACTTGACACACAAGTCATAAAATTAGGCCTTTTTCTCAAG